CATTTGCAGCCTCTCCCAGCTGGGATCTATTTCTCCTCAGATCCCTGCTGCTCCCCCCCACCTGTATGGGCCGAGGCAGCGGGGGCTCCAAGGAAAATTGGAGGGGGGGGTCATGGAGGAAGGAGCCATGACATCCAGGATGGCCGAGCGGTAATGAAAGATCAGCCGGCTGTCTGATTCAAGATCGCTGGCGGCTCTGTGCGTGCCAAGCGGGTTGGATGGCCGAGTAGAGGATAAATAAATATCTGATATTTACAGATCCCCTGTGTGCAGAGCAAATACTGGAGTGACCAGCTGAGGAAGGGGGCTTGCCCCTGAAACGCGTTTTTTTTATTTATTGTAATAAACGATTTTACACACGGAGGTGGCGCTCTGTTCCCTTTTGTTTTCTAACACTGCAAACAGGCCCAAGAAAACAACAGGATACTGTCTGCAGCACAAAGAGCCCCCTGAAGGACCTGATTGCATCATATAAATGACACAGCGTCCACCTGGTAGAACGCGTAGAATGCAAATCTGGGAAACTTGCGTGATGCGAAAACATTCACAGCTCTAGCAAAGTGCAACTTGACAAGAAAAAAAAAAAGGGTATAAACCCTTATACCCTGAGCCACAGACAAGAAGGGGAATCTGTATTTCTCAAGAAAGCAGTGGCTCATAGATTGAGGTGAATGGCAGAAACTACCGTAGGAAAGAAAGAAGTTCTGTGTCTCCACCTCACTTATCCCTATGCAGAAGCAAAAAGAGTTCCTTGTAGGATAAGGCTACCAGCTCAGACACTAGAAAAAACAAAACACCACCTTATAGGTTGGAGTATACAGAGGAATGTCTCTAATGGGTTCAAAAGGTGGTTTCTGAAGCACAAAGAGAACCAAATTCAGATCCCATTGGGGAGCTAAATGTCTTAGATTTGGCTAAGACGGGGTCTGTGCTACTTCTGTTGTTGCGATGACCTCTGGTTGCTTCCTGATTGTTGATATATGCCACTGCCATAGCACTGTGCAACTGAATCTGGATTGGATGATCCTCTAGCTGGAAGGTCCAGCTATGCAAGGAAAACCAAAATCGCCAAAAATTCTAGAATGTTGAGCAGGAGCCAAGTATTTTCCTATGTCCAAGTCCCCTTCACCAATTCAAGCACAAGCTCGACAGCACAGTATGGCTAGCACAGGGGCAAGGACTTTGGTGACTACCTGGAGTGCAGATGGTAGGCTGAATGGCAGGGCTACAAACTGGAAGTGCAGAGGACAAAAAGTGAAAAATGGCCGATACGCTGGCAAAATGGTATGCATGCTTGACGTCCACAGAGGCCACAAAGTCCAAATAAAGACATTTAGGGCTTTGAGATCCAAAATGGGGTGGATGCCCGC